ATCTATCTATCTATCTATCTATCAAAGTCTGTCTCTTTCTCATCCCTGCCTCCCTTCCAAAGCTATATCCTAGCAAATATTCTGACTCTTAGATTTGATAACCTTCCCGTGTGAGTCGCGTGTTGCCTGATGGAAAAATCACCAGACTAAAGTGGTCTCTTGAAAGGCTTCTACAAGATGCCTCGCGCTACTGCCCGTAAGGTCAAAAGTCAGCGCCTCTGAATAGAAGCCACACAGAATGAATGGTGCCGCAAACTTCATAAAGCCCGTTTTGATATGGTGAAGGAAGACTACATTTTGCGTCTTGAAATAGAATAAAACAAATAGCCCTAAACTGCAGTGGCAAATCAATGCGGGAACAATGCTGACCTCGAGAGAAGTCGACGCCACTGCCGTAAAAAGAAAAGCCAAGTTTTTTTGGTTTAAAATTGTGTTAGTTTACGAGATGTTTTCTTCAGTAGTTACTTTCAGGGGGGGGGGGTGTTGTGAATACTTTTGTTTATGAAATCTGGAGATGTAGAAGGTAGACGTAAATGGGCTACTCCTTGTCAGGGGACTTCTGAAAATTGAATTTTTTAAAAAACACACACACACATACACATACACACGTGCTTGCGCTCGTATGCACATACATACGCAAGCGCACACGTATTCTTTCACGCACAAAGACACGCACATGCTCACAGACACGCATATGCGAGAAGTGAATGTCTCTAACTCACTAACACTAACACCAAGGAAACATGGGCTTCAGAATGCAGGAAAGTTAATCCTACAGTAGATATTCAGGGCATGAAGCCAATCAATGACGAAGAGCACACAAGACAGAATTGTCAGAGGCTTTACATTCTTATTTGTTAGAGTCAAATTAAAGATGCACAGAGTTCTCAGTAATAGTTTCTATCAGGGAGAACCCATGCATTTCTTGCTGTAATTGTCAAGAGGGCAGAGAGTGTGATTATACATGGGCACAAAGGGGAGAGAAGTGAATGTATTCGCAAGCGGAGAAATGTAAAAACAAATACATTTATTACATGCACTTTTGCAGGAGAGTCAAGGAGTACGAAATGAATTACGCTTCCCTTGCCCCCCCCTCCCCTTCTCTCTCTCTCTCT